TTTCTCAATTTATAATTTGTTCAAAGTCTCGTACACCACGGATGATAGGATGGGTTGTAGGTGTGAGGATCCCAGGACAATCCAGACAGGTGTCTGCGGGAAGAGTTTCCAGCATCAAGAGAGACATCCGTAGGACTAGGGAGAAGAAGTTTCCACCATTGCCAAAAACTGTCTCTGACTGGGAAATCCCAGATAAGTGGAAGACGACTGGAGCAGCAGCGCCAAACCTTTTCTTATTCACGATTCTGCCACTGGGTCACCTTCGCGGCTTGTCGTTTTTGCAACTGAAGAGCAGTTAAATTTCTTGGCGGGATCAGACACATGGTTCGTGGATGGGACTTTCAAAATTTCATCCAAACTATTCCAGCAAGTGTACGTGGTGAGAGGAGAGATCAACACCGGAGTCCGGACATGCATTTACGCCCTGATGACAGAAAAAATCACGGAAATCTATAAGAGTCTCCTAAAAGCTATTCTGGGAAAACTAGTAGACCTTGGCCTACTACCCAGACCAAAAAAAGTAATGGTTGATTTCGAAGCAGCCCCTTTTACCAAAAAATCGTCCATTCTTGGTGACAGAGTAGAAGATAAGAGTTGTTTTTTTTTGTGTTTTTTTTTTGTTTTTTTTTTTCACCTGTGCCAAAGTACATGGCGACATGTTCAGCAGCACGGCCTATCCAGGCTATGTTTAGCCCGAATGCAAGTTCTAGTCCTTCTTCAAGATCTGTGGTCTCAAGAAGGTCTCCCCAAGTTATTTCACTAAGTAAACCTAGATCCACAGTACAACCTTCACTAAGTAATTTTATATAAAAAAAGGCTAAACTCAGGCAGGACGACCCTAAAGCCAAGGCTGTTTCTAGAAAAATAGCAGAAATAATCTGCCTTAATAATCCACCCCTTAGTGTGGTTGAAGACCTTGGTTTTACTAAACTTGTTAATCACCTAGAGCCTAGGTATGAAATTCATAAACGGAAATAGTTTTCCTAGCGTGTAATTGCCTAAAATGTACGACCAATCCTGTTTTGTCTCTTTAATAGTTTTAAAACATTAAAATAAAGCTTTAATAAATTAAACAAGACAATTAACAGAAATGAACACAAAACAAAATCGGTAACTTTAATAATTGCGGTAAAAAACTGTTAGTAGGCCTGATGGATATGTAAAAGTGACAAGTTTCACCAATTAAGACAAAGACTATAATTTACTCTGTCCAAAATGGCCAGAGGTAACTGACTCAAACTTTCAGGGGACCTTTATGAACAGTAAAAACAACTGTTAACTAGTTTGGCAAGAACAAAGCAATTAGACAAGTGACGTATTTGACTGATTTGGTCGATTCCGTCTTTCCCGCAAACGTCCTACTCGACTCTGATATGCGTTCGCGACGCGCAATCCTCTCGACTCTGATAGTGAACGTCAAGGAGATCAACGACCACATCTTGAACTCCCTCGACGGTCATCTGTACGAGCTGAGAAGCGCCGACACAGTAGACAGAGAGAACGACGATGGCTTGGATGTCGACGTTCAACTCCTGAACACGGCTACTGGCAAGGGCGTACCAGACCATGTTCTGCGGCTGAAGATCGGCTCTGTTTGCCTCATTATGAGGAATCTCAACATTGCTGAAGGACTCGTCAACGGCACTAAAGTCATTGCAATCGGCATCTCCAACCGTCTGATTACAGTGAGACTTCCCGGACAGACGCAACCTATCGGAATTCCCCGGATTACGTTTACGTTCACGTTTGTCGAGAGTTCGCCGTTACGTGTTCGTCGACGTCAGTTCCCACTGATGTTGGCCTATTGCATGACCGGACACAAGAGCCAAGGTAAGACAATAGATTCAGTCGGTTTTGATTTACGGACCGATTGCTTCACGCACGGGCAACTGTATGTCTTGCTCAGTAGGGTCAGACATCCTGACCATATTGTCGTTCTGGTACATCCCGAACGTGTCCGAGGTGGGATCGCGTACGCGAAAAACATCGTGTATGACGATCTCCTACTCTAAACCGGACTTGACACCAGCAGTAGGCAAGGGGATCTGCTTCATCAAAACTCCCCGCCGTGACTTGACAACACCGGCAGTTGTACATAGGGGGTCTGCCTTACCAAAAGTCCCCGTGTTGTTGTATATATTTGTTCTTTCTTTAGTAATTAGTTTAGTTGTTGTATACAGGGTGAGTTTTTTAAAGTGATCCAATAGCTAACTTTTTAATTACAGGACTTAGCACCTCACTTTAAATTTGAAACTTGCTCAGTTTTAAGTTTCACTCAAGAATACGATTTCAGATTTTTTCATTGTGGCCGCCATTTTCCAATATGGCTTGGAACACCCTGTATTTTATTTTGTTTTTAGATTTTACTCTAAAAAATAAAACATTTTTGTTCTTGAGATTTTTTCAATATCTCTAACGGTTAAGGAGCTACGAGGACTTAAAGTTTTCATACAAAGTTGCATGAATTCTAAAGCATGTTTAAAAACAATGTTAGTTTTAAGTGTTGTTACTGTTTAGTTGTGTGTGAACTTTGCATGTGTTTTGTTATTATTATGCGCCTTAAATAGACTAAAGATAAATCTCAAGAACAAAAATGTTTTATTTTTTAGAGTAAAATCTAAAAACAAAATAAAATACAGGGTGTTCCATAAGAAATTTTAAAGTTGGCAGCCATATTGGAAAATGGCGGCCACAATGAAAAAATCTGAAATCGTATTCTTGAGTGAAACTTAAAACTGAGCAAGTTTCAAATTTAAAGTGAGGTGCTAAGTCCTGTATTTAAAAAGTTAGCTATTGGATCACTTTAAAAAACTCACCCTGTATATTTCCTTTAAGTAGTTAGTAGAGTTTACTAACTTGTACATTTGTGAATGATTGTAAATATGGTTCCGACGTTTCCTGGCCTCCTTGTGGCGGAACTGGATATGCCATTACGTTTATAGCTAACCGACAGGGAAACAAACACTACTTCATCTATTTTAATAAATATATACATGAGTATCTACTATAATCTATTTACTTCATATAATACTTTAATATTATCAACTTATCAATCTACATCAATCTACTTATCTTATACAAAAGTTTACTAACTTGTTTAATTTTTAAATAATTGCAAATAGGGTTCCGACGTTTCCTGGCCTCCGATCTACTACAATCTATTTACTTCATATAATACTTTACTATTATCAACTTATGAACTTATCAATCTCCTCTTATATAATCATGAAATCGTTATTACTTTAATGTCGATTTTCACTATAACGAACCCTACTCTCCTTATATTTGTACTTCGCTTGACCAACAACTCAGTTGTAAAAATACTTAACTATAATACTCTCTTACCGTAACTTTAAAAATAATTTTTTTATGAGGTGTTCCTTAAGGTCGAGCTTAATAACTTATATAACTTAATATTGACGGTTTCACTTCTCGCTTTGTTACAACTTAACTCTAATATACTAATGACGACTAACAGCTAGCTGGATTAGCTGTATACGAATGACGACTAACAGATAGGGGGCGAGCCAAAGGCGAGTATAGTTATAATTCCTTAACTCATTTTACAGAACTATCTACATCTACTGTCACTGGCGAAATACAAGACCCTATTGTTTCAGGACGCCCTTAGAGAAGAAAAAAATCCGGGTTCAATCTATTTTGAAATATATGGGAGCTCTTCTGAATCAGATAATGATTCAAAAGTGATAAACCATAACAAAAACTAACCCTAATGTTAATGATTATGTTATTTTCAACGTTTTTCGCACAAGAAGTAGGAAAAAGTATGTAGCCAATATGGTAGGAAAAATATCAGATGAAATTAAAGTAATGTTCATGACCAGATGTTTAGAAACTAAGAAAAAATTTATCTTAGTGATGAACCAGAGGCTGCTGATTTAGTTGAAGATATGGTTCAAATAAAAACCCAGCCTGTGCTAAACAATAGGTTACAATACTGCTTTAAGGAAATTGTAAACAGAGTAACGCTTTGAATTTATGTTAATGTAATTTTGTTCACTTGCTTCATGATTACTTGGTCTTTTTTTAGGATAATATTTAATGGAAGAGCTAAATTGATACTAATACAATTTAAGGATGTTGTAAACGCATACTCATGTTATTTCATTTAAGCTGTTCAATTGCTACCTTTACTACCTTTACTACATGTTTTTTTATTATTTTAAATTCATTTTTTGTTCATATTTTTGAGCTTATTAAAGGGATTCTGCTCATTTACAGGAAAATATCTTTCATTTAGTACCAACCGCGTGTAATTCGGTTCAGTAGTATGGTCAGGCTAGCTGTCATAAGTTTTGTAAAAATTGTAAGTATAAGATATTTTACAATGTCTGTTAATAGTTAGACAGCTGATTTTCAGTTGGTGCGCCTGACTTATATTTATTTATATTGCTGTGTCTTTAAAGTTCAGTATTCTTATTATATTGATTATGACATTAAGGTGTTAAATTTAAGAATTCAGTAGGCCTACTTTCTCTGATGGACCTACGTTAGCCATGTGACCAGAAAACAAAGGGTGGACGGATGCTTCTAGATGTCGAGTTTGCTTCAGCAAACAGCAAAAAACTCAAACAAACAAACTTAACAAAAATATGTTGTGACTTCAGTCCAAGCTGACTTTGTTGTACAAAATACAGAGCAATCATAAATCCTTGACCTACCTATATTTTGCAAAATCGTGTTTTGTGCATATTGTTTTTTGTTTTTTTGTTAAATGATATCAATAAAAATGTATGATGAAACGTGTGTGTTCGCTTCAATGTAGGCCTAAGCTGACTTTGTTACAATACAAACAAAAAATTGTTCTCCTTGTGTACACATGACAAAGCAATCCTACATCCTAAACCAATTATTTTTATTGCAAAATTATGATTTGCAGATCTTGTGCAAGAAATTTTTGGAAAAAGGAACTACCCTAGTGGACAGAAGAGTTGGGGATAAAAAATCTAGGGCTTTTTCTAATAAGCGGGGAACTGTAAGAGCCTACATTAAATCCACAAACTCTGAGTAAAAATACTATTGTAGGGCTTAGAACGTACATAGATTTTACCTACGCAGTGATTTGTCGATTGCCAAAATTGTCGCTTATACAATGAACAATGTGAGCCTGACAATAAAGTTGAGTACGCATTTTTTTTGTAGAGTCTTTGAAAGAGATTTTAACATAGGCTTTGGATCGCCTGCAACAGATGCGAGTTCTTTTTGCCTCAGACACAAGGAGCAACTTAAATTAAGTATATAACTCTTGTTGTGAAATATACTATTTCCAAATCTCTTCTACCTCAACGGGGAATGAAGCCCTACAAGATTGTAAACACTCTTTCTTTGATGGTACTTTTAAAAGTCGCAGAAAACAATTTATGAAAATATATTATTCCATAGTTGCAGAACTGAGTAGCTCAGAAGCCAAAACAGGTGTGATACCAGTTGTGCTCGCTCTTATACCCAACAAAATGAAAGAAACGTATGTTCGATTATTCAAATCTATTAAAGAAGTTTTCCCACAGTTGTACCCTAAAACAATAATTCAGATTCCGAAGCAAGAGCAATTTCTACTGCAAGAGAAGTTTTCCCGGTGACTGAATTACATATATATAGATGTTTATTTAATCTTTCCAATAAAGTGGAGAAAGATTGGACATTTCAACGCATAAAACAACGAATGTCAGGCAGTGTGTTAGATAGGTAATAAGACACTCGGATAAAGTATTTCGTTTTTAGCAAATGTGCTCTATAGCAAAGATGCTTCTGTAGTATCGTAGGTGGTATAGGAACAACTAGATCCAGGACAGATTGGTTTTGAGGGCATCTGGGTCATCTATTACTTGGCCATCTGCTAACCAAAATCCGATCAATGAGTTTACATCCGGATCACAAAATCGTCCATGCATTTTCTCACTTATTCCCTACAGGTAAAGGGACATTTTTGAACAATCGCCGCAATCCAGCTGATGTCCAGAATTCAAACGGTTGTACTACACAATGGCTGTAGTGTTAAAGTAGAAAACAGAAATTAGACACGAAGTTGTTTTGCAAACATGTTATACTTGTCAGACATATCGAGTTTCCTTCTAAAGGATGTCATTGATGGCGCAATAATCCTCATTTCTGCTACCTCAAAGGGGAAAGAGGTCCTGCAAGATTGAAAAAAGTGTTCTTTGATGGTACATTTAAAACTTGCGGCAAACAATTTGTACAAATTATTCCATTCATGCAGAAATGCAATGTATTAATTTTTTCTATTGGAGTAGAATAGTTATTTGTGCAACTAGTGAGCAAAGGGAGCAATTGACTCACTCGAGAGAAATACTTAGGCTCGTGAGGAATGGTTTCTCGAGTGAGGCAATTGCACTTTGCACTCGAATTGCACATTACATTTTTCCTTCAGTTACCATAAAACAAATAAATTGGTAAAGACACGTGACATATTTTTACATAGAAGTGAATTTTTAAAATGCCATTTAATGATACAACAGTACAACAGCTGACCAGCTGATTTACAGCCAGTGCTGCCAAATGAATTTCGCGCGCATACGACCTTGTCTGCATGTTACGCGCTCACTATTTCATGCCTTCAAATTGGAAATCTGGAGTGAGACAAAGTAATTAGAGTGAGACAATAATAACATTGTCTCACTGATGAGCAAATTGGCCACTTTGCTTTCTCAAATCAGCGAGAGAACATGTACATTGTTATGTAACTGTAGGAAAAGTTATGTCCTCAGGCACAATGGTATATTAGTCACTAGTCCGGAAAGTAGGTGGTTACCAGACGATTGACGAACAATATTTTTGCCAACCTAGACTAAAACACTCTCAAAATCCATTATATGACCCACAGATTGAAGGGCTTAACAATTTAATGTACTACTCAAAAATTCTCTCTAAGAGATCATATTTTCCTTAGGTCGTTTGCAGTTTTAAAATTGTATAATATGGATTGTTGGAATTATTAGAAAGTAATTATTAGAAAGTTATTTGACTGTTTTAGAAGTAGACATTAATGATAATCTTTGGTAGTATTTACGGTAGTCTTGTTCTTATCTAGCTAAGGTATTACAAAATTCTGCCTTGCATGGCTTGCAGCATGTGGATTTTATTTTATTTTTTCATTTTTAGTATGCATACATTGCTTTGCATGTTTTGTATTGAGTGAGCTCCTGCATGTGTTCATTTCAGCCTTTAATCTTGTTAGCCAAGAGGGCAAGAAGAAGTTTGGCATGTTTATTTATTATTTGTTTGACGTAGCCTATTGTTTGCATGTAACTGAATGGCCAATATCAATCAATCATTTGAATCATTTAAAGCTAAACCAGTTGACAGAAAAACGTTTTCAATTACCCCTTAAACAATTTGTTTTCAAACAAGGATCGTGTGATGTCAATAGAATATTGAAAAGATTGTCTTAAAATTCGTAACTGTTTGCTGCGATGAAATTCAAACGTTTAAGACTAAATGTTTGAATAGTTTGTCAGATACTGGGAACATAACAGTATATCCGCAGTGGAGCGTTTAGTTATTCACTTGGATGATCAAAGACGTTCTTACCTCCACGTATTTTTCTCTTCTTCACTACCGCAAAACGACAAGGAACTGTAATGGCTGCATACGTAAAACTGCAGAAAGCTCAGCTACTTATGAGATGTTCGCGTATTTTGTATATATATTTTATAAGGAGTCAACGAATGTAAAACATATATGTAATTTAAGGCAATTTTAATTACAGTATTTCTGTACTTTTGAATAATCCTATCAAAACTTAAGAAAGGGCACTTACGTCCAAGTAAAATCTTACAATTTGAATTTAAGATTTCCTACATTTGTCAAACCATAAATAGATTTTGGATGTATTTAACTAAAAAAGATTTATAGGCGCAACGTGCACAATACATTGAATTTAAACTTACAAGTCTCCTAGTCACCTTTCCTTGCTATGTTTACGCCACCACCTTGTGGGGCCGGATACTTAATTTAAATAATAAAATTATCTTCCACAATCCAATATGTAAAATAATAATCCAGAGAAAGTCTATTAGTCCAAGTGGAGTGTTTAGGTAGAGCCAGACACGAAACAGCTTTTAGTGAGCAGAAGTGTGCTCTGCTCTTAACGTCGAGGAATGTCAACCCGGTACAAAGGAATTTGTATAGTAATAAATCTAACGATATCGTTGTTATTACGTTAGTTCTGAAATATTTCTATTACTAAATTGGACTTTTCTAACGTTCCTTGTGTTAAACTGAATAGTAGTTTTCACTTGATAACGGGAGGAGCGTTCACATTCAGACACGTTGTGTGTCTTGTTTTAAACACAAGACACGTTCGGAAAGTCCAATTTAATAACAGTAACACTTCACCAGTTTTGGGAAAAAATCCATAATTGGAAAGTACTTATGAATATTAATAGATACAAAATTCTGAAGTTTATCAGATTTAACAAATGATTAAACTTTTAAGATAAAAAGTCCTCTATAAAGCTTTAATAACTTTGCGTTTATTGCTATTTCTTATTTGTGAGTAAAATCAACCAATTGTATTTTTTCCGCCTTTACATCCTAGGACGCTCTGGCCTGGAACCGTTTTTCACGTTACTTCAAACTAGACCTAGTGGATAACAGCACCATCAATTATATGAAATTCATTGGTCATTGGCGGGATTTGAACCCGGGACATTGGAGACTGAAGTCTCCCACTCTACCACTTGACCAAAGTAGCTCCCTGAATGTGTATAAATAGATACAGTGTTTTGCAGTTATCTCTTAGAGTTGCAATTTGTGAGTCGATTGCATAATTTAAAATGACTACATAGATCTTTGTAATTCAATTGTTATAGCGTCCACAATTGTAAGCTCCGTATAACTAATGAAACTCAAAGACCCACATTGAACTGAAACGTTTAACTCCAGCAGCAAACCGACGTTTCTGGATGATTTACAAACGTCGACGTCATTAGTTACGTTTCATTCCCGAGATTACGTCATTGTCTCTCGGTTTATAATTAAACTTTGCTCCTCTCATTAGACAAAGTCTTCCCAACTGATATTTTAATTAAGAATTCCTGCTGATACGGTGTCTCAGAAACTCCGATGGTTCTATTTGGCACACGAGGTATAAACGGGTTCTCGTATATCGAGGATGAGTCAACATGATGTCTGCTGTATCTATATTATTCAATAAAATTTCTCTGGTTTCAAGTGTAGTATAACTAAAATTTGTATTGTTCAATTAGAATTGCACGGTTGTAAAAATAAGGTAATAAACTAAAGAATAATTGTTAATCATAGTAAAATATAAAAAGAACCATGTGTGTGTCGCTGTGCTACTTAGGGTGCGCTTACAAAGAAAGCTGGTTACAAGTAACTTACTTTCAGCGTTTGTTCCAAGCGCTTGAGAATGCTGTTGTGTGTTCACAACAAACGCTTGCATTTCAAGCTCAGTGTAGTCTCAGCTCTGGTTGAGACAATATCTTCCTGAAGCGATGGAGAGTTATTTTTGATTGAAAATGTAAATTTCGTAAAATTCGTGGAAATAAGTAGGTGTTTATGCAATTAACCGCGGAAGAGGTAGGTTCGGGGAATACCACCATCTATTTCCTCAATTGAAACTGGACAAAGTGGGGTTTTTTTCTTATATGAGAATAGAGTTAACCACGTTTAATTACATCCTCAAGAAAATTGAAAGTGTTTTAGTGAAGTTTTGGGAGATTTGGCATAAGCAACCTATCCATGCACCAGAACGAATTTTCGGCCGATAATAAAACCTAAAACATACGCGAAGGGAATTTTAAGCATCCTATGTAGCTGATTAATTAAGATTCAAATAATATTGTGAGATATATTTAAATGTTTTAATTTTCTAGGTAAATAAAGAAAAAGTATACAGGTTTCATAGGCCAATTCATGTTCTCGTATTTCCCTTGGGCTACGCCCAAATGGATGGGAATGGTTAAGGATAAATAGAGATGGCGTTTCTCACTTACATTCGAGTAAACTGTTTCAGAAGTACTTAGTGGATAAGTACACCAGAGAAAAAAACTAGACTTAAATACGGTAAAGTACACCAATCTGAACATAGGACAGAGCAATTGAAAGCATTCCAAGACTTCTTAATGAACCATAATTTAGTAAGAAAACCGTCGGGTGAAAAAATTGTATCCTGCCAGCTTCTTTTGAGGGAAGTATGAGAAACATGGTACAACGGTATCAAGCCCTTAATCAAGATCAAGAGCAAGCCCTTATTCAAGATGAAGATCAAGCCCTTAATCAAGATCAAGTCTTTCATCAAGATATAATAGGCTATAGTACGCAAATATGGAAAACCTGACTTTTTTATAACAATTACCTGCATCCATAAATGGACTGAAATAATAAAAGTTATAAGTCCAACTAAACCTGCATTTGGCGGCAACATGCTTTTAGCACTTGAAGATGGTGCCTAGTTTAACAAACCAGAGGTCATCAACCATTTAGTATGTGCAGAAATGCCCAATGCGGACACATTTTAAAATCTTCATGAAATTGTGTTGATGACAACGATTCATGGTCCATGTGAGCTCGACACATGAATTAACCATGTATGGTAGATGGAAAATGTTCAAAAGGGTACCTAAAGGAGCTTTGTGATTATTACACCCGTACTTAATAAGACTATGCTTAAGGCCGACACGCACTATTGAATAATTACTACTACCGACTATATGCAATACGTACTAACTACGACAGGCGGAAATGATATGTTATCATACCTGCGTTCTCTAGTCGACTGTCCGTCATTTCGTCTCCAGAGTGGGGATAAGGGTTGAAGGTTCAAAGTCCAGACTTGGCTATTATTGTATGAATGAACTAAAATATCTTCTGTTATACTTCAAACTAAATAATCACTTTACCACAGTGATGAGACTGGTTATCCTAAATACCTAAGAAGGGATAGCGAATTGTCATAAGAGAGTTCATAAAGTTGATAACCGTGATGTTTTACTACACAATAAATACTTTCTGTTAAGATTATGAGAAAAATTTTATTGATATATTTTCAAGGAAATAGTATCATTAAAACAAAATCTGATAATGTTGTTTTTCACAGTTCTCATGAAGACACACATTATTTAAAATAAACAGTATCAGCAATCTGACACAAACTTTCTATTTTTTTCTATTTTCATATATCACATAGCGTATAATTTTTATCTGTTTTTTGGGTTGCATTATTGGGCTAAAAACAAAAAAAAAAGAGCCTTACGTCAGGGTTAGGAATTCCAATTGCTAAATTTGTGCAAGAGCTCGCGGAAAAAAAACATCGATGCTCCAGCACATGTGTGCTAAAAAGTTTTTCGAAAACTTCAATAGCAATGGAAAGTGATTTAATAGTCGAAGGATTTCAAAAGAGCATGGACATGTACAACCTGAAGTATATAAATGTAATCGGTCAGTATAATTATTATTGTTTATTTTTTATTTGCTTTTAACTGTACAACATATTAAAACTTTCTTTTTTAGTACTTTCTCCCATTCCTATTAGCTTGTCAAAAAGCCTTATAATGGGTAAGCGGTGGCATTAAATATGCTATCTGTTGGTTAAAATCACAGTAAATGCAATAACATTAGGAACGTAACTTTGGAAGTATTGGAGGTTGTATCGTTTTCGAGGTAAGTTAAAATGGCCATGATATACTTAATATTAACAATCAATTAACCTTAGCCAAAATATTTTCTGAGCTTAAATCTTTTTTATAATTTCAAATTGTAATGCTATGGCTATTTTACAGTGGGTGGTGACAGTAGTGTCATGAGTAAGCTGATTGGGGCACAGACATATGGACCAGGGACAACAATCTCAAAAATAGAATGTACCAACCATCTCCTTAGAAATTGTGTGAGAAAACTAAGAGAAGCTAATTAACAATAGCGGAATGAATTTGGACCAGTTCCTGGTGAACTTAAGAACAAAGTGAAGTCATACCTTCTCCAGCTAAGGTATATTTTAGTAGTAACTTAAATATCACAACAAAAAATAGCAAATTCAGTGTTTTAGCGATTCTCGTCTAAAAAAGGTTAGCATGTATAAGTGACGTTATCATCCGTGCATGTTTGCATTGTGAAATATAGCCAATTTTATGTTTCAGGTACATTGTCACTTTTCCGATCAAGTCCGCCAAATCCAATATTATCACACCGGAATACGAAGATATACGACAACTTCAGGAGGACATGAAATCGGCCCGCACCATGTTTTTGTGACCACTCAATGTGCAAGCCCTACTATTTATTCCCCAGGGCGCAAGAAGGGATAAATGAATCTGGTTGAGGACATGAAAACCTACGGTTCCTGAAACCAAATCATGTCTGCGAACAACTACCTCGACTACTTTGCCCACCTTTACATTCTGTGATAATGCAGCTGGTATGTTCTGTAATTTGTCTAAGGCATTTGACCGACTGTGTAAATCATGAACTTCAAATTCAGAAACTAAGTAACATTGGAATCATAGGTAAGGTAATTGAAGGATTTTCAATGGTTTAGATCACATGTGGTATACCACAAACAAAAAAATTTTATTATTAAAAAAGGATAACGTACTATTCGGACTGGATAATTATTAAATACGGGATTCTTCAAGGCTCAACTTTGGGGCCTTTATTGTTCACCATTTAGGCTACATCAACGACCTACTCAAAAAATGCATTCAGAACTAATACTTTTCTGTACAGCAGGTGATACCACTGTTTTTGTAAAAGAAAACTTAGTGTCAAATGTACAAATTTCAGTAAAAAAACCTTGGAAGATCTCCATGAACGGTTTACAGCTAATAAATGATCTGGCACTAAACAGTGATAAAACTAACTTCATGTTTTTAAAATCTCCAATATGGCAGATAATATTTCACAACAAAAATTCTCGGAGGATTTATTGATAAAAAATAAAATGGAAGGAACATAATAATTATTTGTAAACAAAATTAAGATACATCATTTTTCTTTTTTAGTTCTTCCGCAGTGTGCATCAATTAATGTAACTAAAATAGTATATATTTCCCATGTAAAATCCATTTCGAGGTACGGTACCTTATAAAAAATTCAACAAATAGAAACAATTTATTTTCAATTCAAAAAGATTTATTAGAAGTAGGCCTATGGCAAACACTAAGCTTAAAGCTTCCTGTAAAAACCATTTAAAAATCAGTCCATATTAACTTTCCCCAGTCCACTTATTTATGAAAACCAAAATTATGTTCATGAAAAGTAGAACATTTTGAGCGTTTTTTAAATAAAAAAAAGGACACGATTAGAAACAACAACCTCTTCAGTAATCCAATACATAGGAGAACAAAATTTAAAAAAAGTCCTTTTCATATAGGCCTATAGCTGTACAAACATTTACCGAATAAATTTAAACAATTGGTAGTAAGTATTTTTAAAGTTAAAATTGAGGAAATACTTTTGAATAAGGTTTATTATTCCATCCCAGACTTTTAGCTTTCAAACTAAGAGGTCCTATTGCATTTTGTTTTTGAAACAACAATTTTTCTCCTAGTATAGCGGAAGCCATTTCTCATACCAAATATACTTGTGTCTAGGGAATTGTATGCGTAACTTATGTCTAATCACCTGCAGATGACGTTATGTGAGAATGTATTTGAACCCCATAAGCTCCCAGACATTACTTATCTAATGAGTAAATATCTGTAAACCACAATTGTACTGAGAAGCGCTCGAGAATAAAGGCATTTTCATTTGATTTCATTTAAAAATTGCATTTATACCCCAGACAAGGAAATAGCATGTACTACCAGTATTTTAATATGTAGAAAGGTTAAGGTCATGAAAGGTCATCCATGTCATAAAATATATCATTGCTATCCTCAAAATAAGTTCATCTGCCGTTGATATTTAGTGAAGAGTTGATAATATAGAGAAGTTTGATTAGATAACTTGGCAAATCAATAAATTGTTGTTGCACACGAAGAAACAGCTGTCAGACCCACAAACTATCCTGCTGGGCAGTGAGACAAAGAAAAATATTGTATTGTTGGAAATAAAACTTTTGATTGTGTAAGAATTGTTTTGTAACACACCTTTCAGTCTTCCGATACGTGTCAGTGACATTGGCATTACATAGAGACACAAGAAATCCGACAGGCTGAGAAGGTAGACAGACAATCACCCTGAAACCCTAATTTTAGATTCCGAAATCCTATTCAAATCTATCAGAGGTTCCTGTGCCCATTTAGCATTATATCCATGGAGCAAAACCCCCAGATAATTCGCTGAAGCTCTGAACAGAAGCTTCTCATTCACATGTTGACTGGAATAACCACCTGACTCAGACGAAACTTAGATATATCCGGTTTCCAATCCTTGATGACTACAGCTAAAAGTTTTATATGAACTATTGAAAGAAAAAATACAGACATTATTAATCTTAGTAGAAATATAGACGTTTCTGGAAAAATATTTGCCTTTCGAAGACCTAAACTGTAAGCGTTGTAGGTTAATTCAAACCAAACAAATATATGTAGTAACAAATATGCTTTCTTTCAACTCTTCTCATGTATAAATTATGTTATTAGTTGCATGAGACAAGCAAGACTTGGCCTAATTAATTGCGTTTATTTTCTTCAATATACAATTTCACTGAATAATTGCTAAGTAATAAGCTTTCAATGCTCATTGATTGTCCAATGATTCTGGTGTGAGTAGCAAAGTGACGAAGAGTAGTGTACTGTAAATGTTCCGTAATAGTGTGAGTAGTAGAGTAGTGTGCTATTAATGTACAGATTCTAGTGTAAGTAGTAGAGTAGTGTAATGATAATGTACAGTAATAGTGTGGGTAGTAGAATAGCGTTCTGTTAATGTACAGTAATTCTAGTGTGAGTAGAAGAGTACCGTTCTGGTAATTTGCAGTGATTCTAGTTTAAGAAGCAGAGTAGGGTGCTGTTAATGTAAAGTGGTTCTAGTTTAAGTAGTACAGTAGCGTCGTAGCGTGCTGTTTATGTACAGCGATTCTAGCGTGAGTAGTAGAGTAGTGTAATGTCAATACTCAGTGATATTAGTGAGGGTGGTGGGAGTAACGTGCTGTCATGATCAATGCTCATTGACTCGTGTTAATCGACCAATGCGATAGATCCCATCAATCAGTCAGTCTGTTTGCCGTTCTATCAACAAGGTAATACACGAATGTAGAGAGGACGTATTAGGCTAATGTATGTGTTCACAGCACTCGACTCCGCTTCTCTGGTACAGGGATGGATATGTATAGTGGCGGGCGGTAGTCGAGGAAGGGGGTGGCTGGCCGCTTGCTCAAACACTCATCCTAACGAATGCTTTCAAATTTCAATATACCATCAGTAATATTGGTATCATAACCTTAATTTACAAGATGGATATCAATGGAAGCTCAAATTGATTTCCATCTTAACAGAAATTGTACATTATAGATACAAAAAATAATGTTACTTAGCTTCTTTTAAGAAATAAGTAGCTCAAGTGCAATAATAATAATACAAATAACAATAATACTTCATTGCCTTGACAATTTGCAACGTATCGACATTGCAATTAATTAAGTCATAAGTCATTTATTGAACCAGATTTACATAAGTTACATGCATTGGTTACGTCAATTACAGTAATACATAAAATATAGACAAAGTTCCTTATCCTACATGCCATAAGCTATTTACATTTGGTTTATTTTTACATTTTGTTTGAAAATGCACCTCTTATGCCCATGACTGCCCGTCAGCAATAAACTCACGGACACGGTAGTAGAATTTAGATATTAGTAATTTCCGGAGATTTTTTTTATGACAGGGTGTGACTCAATTTTTAGATGATTTGGCAAAGTATTGAAGAGCAGGAGTCCGTCATAATATAGATGTTTTTTTTTGTTGGAAAAAGTGGTAGAATGTAGAAGTTGTTTTTTAAAAAAAGAGAGTGTTTCTAAGGTTTAATCAATTCTAAGGTTTAGTTTTAATTTAAACACTTTATAATACCTGTTTAAACTTTTTAAGTTAGGTACATTTTTTGAGAGTAAATAATTTTAAACATTAACACAAACATAGTAGGGTTGGAACATGATAGTAGACAAACATAGTACTGTAGTAAGCTTCTAATTTTAAAGACTTTCTACAAAGTTGCCTAAGTCCTTAGTAAGTTCAATTTTCTTGTCCTCGTGTTGTCGGCTTATCTCATTATTTTAAGTCATTTAGAGTAAATAGCAAATTAGGCTCTGGACAGACGTTTCCGATTTTAAAAACTTCCAAGTTACCTTAGCAATACCAAATTGCTATCCTCGATTTACCGTATAGAAGGTCCCCCCCCCCAAAAAAAAAATTACTTTAAAAATTACTTAAAAAAATACTTTAAAACACATAGTAAGAATATCATATTATTATTGGTCGAAATCGTGTATTTCAAAATACAGCGCAACATGTCTTGTAGGCTTTAGTTGTTTTATTCAACTCCAATAGTAAAGAAAACGTATTTCAAGGGTAAATGTTTTATTCATTGCGTCAGCTTCTCTATTGTTTGCATTGAACACAATTGCATCGTTACATTTTAGCTAAAACTGCATTGGCAAGTTTATTCCACATAATTGCTATCACATACCTCAAACGAAATAAAATTACCCAAATATTATAGGCAGGTTAAATGAATATTAATATCAGTGTAGGTAAATAAAAGTTTCAATCGAGATTCTTTTAGATTTAGAAGCTACACAAAATTTGATTTCTAATGCATAACACTACCGAGTACTAAACTGTACAGTTTAACCAATAAAAAGTAAATTTAAATTTAAGTATAAAAAATTAAATTTGAATAATTTCAAAAGAAATAATCCTCATGACAACCTTTACGCCGAAAGGAAGGCTAGGTAATGATTTATTAACATCCATGTACTTCATTATATTTAAACAACAATATTATTTAAGTGTAAACAAAGCAGCCGACTACATTTGGTCAGGATAAAAAAAAATTTTCAAAGTTGAAAGTAGTTTATAATCAAATCTTTGAGACAATTATAACATGAAAAAAAAAACAAAAAAACGGAATAGCTCATACATCTATACCTGTTGAATGAGAAACGACTCACGACTGAATAAAAAATCTAACAAAAAAGTAGCAGTGTAGCAGTGCAGTGTTTTGTGTGTAAATACGGAAATAAGTTTCCTTTAAATTATGAAACACTTGATTGACTTAGCTACTACATACATCAACACTAGTTGTGGAGGTTATAT